TGCAGTCTGGCAGGACTCGCTCCAGTGCTGCCATCCAGACGTCCCCCAGCCTGCAGAAGCCCTTCGTGCCCCCCCATGCTCGCAGCGGGGGCACCCAGGAGGCGGCAGGCGCCGGGGGGAGCCCGGGCACGTGGGTCCCGCGGACGCCCGTTGCTCCGTGTGTCCCACTGCCGGGTGCTGCCGGGTGTCCCGCTGCCAGCTGTGCCCCCGCCACGCGCCGCAGCTCCCCCAGCACCGAGCACTGCCCGCGGGCCCCAGGCTGCGCCCGGCCGCGCGGCGGCCCTCCACGCCCGGCCTCGGTGCCCTGCGGCCGCCCACCCGCCGTGCCACAGCCCTTGGCGCGCAGCGACTCGGAGCGCAGCCTGCGCCCCTGCAACCCGCAGCCCCCCCACAACCCGCAGCCCCCACGTGCCACCCCTGCCGCGGGTGCCTACGGGCCCCACCGAACAGCTCAGGGCTCCCCACACCGAGACCCCCCGCACTGCAGCTTGCCCTGGGGGGGGCCCTGCTGCACCCCGCTGCCCCCCCGGCAGGACTCCCTCCCGCCCGCCCCTGGTTCTGCTGCGACGCCCACAGCAGTGCCGGGGCCCCAGCCGCCGCAGCCCAGCCTCAGCGCGCGGCAGGCGGAGACGCTGCGGCACGTGCAGGACCTCCTGCAGCTGGTGGCCACGGCCAACGGGCAGGCGGCACCGCCGGCGGGGGACGAACGTGCCCGGACACCTCAGGGACAGGGGCCTACGGGGCCCGGCGAGCGGGGGGACCTGCGCACGCAGCTGCAGTCCCTGGAAGGGGTGCTGGAGACCAGCCAACAGACCATCCGCGTGCTGCTGGACGTCATCCAGGACCTGGAGAAGAAGGAGGCCCAGCGGGATGGGTGAGCAGCGCCCGTGCGGCACCTCCTGTCCGTAACGCCTGCGGCGAGGCCAGAGGGTCCCTGTGCGGGCAGGGGCACAGGCCCCATCCGGGGCCATTCCCAGTACACGGGTCCTGCGCATGCACTGCCCGCTGCGCCCTGCCCATCCTGGGCTGAGGCGGGAGCTGCTGCCAGCCCCTGGGGCGCCCGTTCCCGACCCTGCACCCAGCCATGGGTTCCCCCTCCTGGCCAAGCTGGCGGCTCCCATGGGACCATGGATGGTGGCTCCGCACAGTGCAGGCCAAGTGCTCCTGTGACCAGAGTCACTCTGCTCCGCGCAGGAGCTGCAGCAGCTCCGCTGAGCGCCTGGCTCCATGTGCTGCCGCAGTCCAGTGAGCAAACATGCGGCCTGGAGATACAGGGAAGGGCATGGAGAATCCCATGGGAACCGTGCCACTGCGCTGGCAATCCCTGCCCTTGTTTGTGGGGCTGGGCACCATGCTTGCTTGGGGACACTGTGTCCTCAGGGATGGCTGAGCCCATGTGGAGACCCCAGCCTGTTGGCCTCTGCGCAGCTGGCAGCGCAGCCCGGCGCACCAGGCACACCAGCCACGTGCCCCGGCACACTGGAGCTTGCAGTCAGGTCTGGGGCTAAGGTGCAACCTGTGCATTAGAAGACCCAGTTTCCCCATGCCAAGAAAATCCCTGACCAAGGTCGAGTGACAGGGAAGAAGGTGTCAAGAGGAATCAGTGAGCAGTGACGGGTGTCTGGGACCCAGGACTCCGCCAGCCACCCGCTGCCCACCGTGGCACCCGTGCCCTGCACGGTGCCGCCTTGCGCTGCCCATGCTCAGGGCGCTGTCCCCACTCACAGGCGCCTCTCGTACCACACGGGACAGGACATCGCCAACTGCGGGACCTGCCGGGACTGTGCCTGCATCATCTACAGGTAGGAGCGAGGGGGCCACGCGCGGTTGTGCCACTGCAGGTCGTGCAGCCCTGCGGCGCCCTGTGCATGCGGAGGGGCTGCTGCCCTGTGCCGGGCTCTGTGCTCTGCACCGGCCTCGCATGGTGCCAACGCGGGTACCCGCCCCGCCAGCATTGGCTGCTCCACGCCTCCTCCCGTGTCCTGACAGGGCTGCGCGTCCCCTCCTGTCCCCGCTCGCCTCCCGCGCCACGTGCGCCACGTGTCACCCCGCGCCCCCCATCGCCGCGCGCCGCGGCGGGGCTGGCAGTGCTCCCGAGGCTCGCGGGGCTGTCAGGGCTAATCGGGGCTGACGGCTCCGCGCAGCCGGCGCTGGGGGGTGTCGTGGCGGGGGGCGCCGGGTGCCGCCGGGTCCTGCCGGGCGCTCGCTGCCCTCACGTGACGGGGAGGCTCCCACCAGCCGGGCATGCGAGGTCCAGCCAAGGAGCAGCGGCCCCAGGGCTGCAGGTGCCTTTTGCTGGGTCCCCGCGGCTGCCGCTGAAGCAAAGACTTCACAGACTTCACGTTTGCAAAGCTCTGTGCAGGAAAGGGCGCGGGCGGGACAGGGGCTGGGTCACAGGGAAGGACGTGGGGCAAGGGGGTCAGAGAGACGCTGCAGCTCCGAGGGAGGCCCCTGGCAGCACAGGGGAGGTGGCACGGGGATGGGCATGGCTGGGTGGCGGGGATGCCCTGCCCTTGCTCTTGCTCCTGCTCCTGCTCCCGCTCTTGCTCTTGCCCTCACCCTTGCTCTTGCTCCTGCTCCAAGCACCTTGCAGCTCCCAGCCTGGTAGCTTTGCCGGCTGCTCGTGCACGTGCCTGACACGTCCCCAGCGGTGACGGGAGGGCTGGGGCTGGCGGGGCCCACACGCGAGGTGTCGGTGCCATGTGCGTGCTGGGCGCCGCGCTGACACAGTGGGACAGGGCTATGCCACGTGAGGCGGGTGCCACGGGGACAGCAGTGGCTGGGGGTGCACGCAGGCAGGGCCCCCGCTGCCTCGGCACGGGGCTCGCCAGGGGCCAGTGCCGCTGCGTGTGGCACCGCTGCGTGGCCGGTGACACGGCGCCCGCCCCGCGCAGCGTGGAGCACGATTTCCGGCAGCAGGAGGGCCGCTTCCAGCGCGTGCTGAGCAGCATGGAGCGCCAGGGCAGCCAGGGCTCCCCGCCCAGCGCCCCCAGCCCCCGGGAGCTCTCGCCCGCCTCCAGGCTCCCGGCCAAGCTGGACACCAAGAGGTCCCGGCGCAAATGCTTCTGGTTCCTGTGAGCTGAGGACGGGGCCAGGACCACTGCGCCAACAGCGATGCTTCCTCCTGCCTCCTTTTCCTCCCTCCCGTCTTAGGGTTTGGGTAGCACCAGCTTTTCTATTTTTAACCGTTCCCTTTAACGTACAAGAGCCCCTGTGTAAATAAGAGGCGAGGGGAGCGACTGCTGTACTTAGGGAGAAAACAATAAATTCCAGGGCGCCGCTATTTTTGTTACACGCTCTCCGGCTCTGCCCTTCTGTTCCGCAGGGGGACGGGATCTCGGCACGGTGCAAGCGGCCCCGGGGTTGCGCAGGGCTCCGCGCGGCTGCCGGCGGCTCCTGCACTGCGCAGAGCTCGCAGGAGCTGCAGGGCTTTTCTGCGGGCGCCCCTGGACAGCAGGGCTCGTTGTGCCAGGGGTGACACGGTGGGGGCGGTCGTGGCAGCGCGAGGGGGCTCTTCCGTCAGGGGCCGGCAGCTCTCGGCGGTGCCGCAGGGACAGCAGGGAGATGCTGCGTGGCCCGGGGTGGCCCCGACGTTGCATAACCCCTGCGTGTGAGGGACGGCCCTCGCTGCGGGGCCTGCGCTGGTGGGAGCCCGTCCCCGGGGCACTGCAGCACCGGGGTGGGAGCGCCCGGGGACACGGCGGGGACACGGCGGCTGCTGCGCTCCGGGATGCTCCTCTGCCAGCCAGGACAAGCGTGACGCAGTGGCCTGTGGCTGAGCACCGTGCAGCCCTCCGCATGCCCACAGCTGAGCACCGTGCAGCTCATTGCATGCCCATGGCTGAGCACCATGCAGCTCATTACATGCCCATGGCTGAGCACCGTGCAGCTCATTGCATGCCCACAGCTGAGCACCATGCAGCTCATTGCATACCCATAGCTGAGCACCGTGCAGCTCATTGCATGCCCATGGCTGAGCACCATGCAGCCCTCTGCATGCCTGCAGCTGGGCACCGTGCAGCTCATTGCATGCCCACAGCTAGGCACCACACAGCTGGCTGTGTGCCCCTGGCTGAGCACTGTGCAGCTCATTACATGCTCGCAGCTGAGTACCACACAGCTCACTGCATGCCCACGGCTGAGCACCATGCAGCCCTCTGCATGCCCATAGCTGGTCACCACAAAGTTCATTGCATGCCCGAGCACCACAAAGCTTGATGCATGCCCACAACTGAGCACCACACAGCTCGCTGCATGCCCATAGCTGAGCACTGTGCAGCTCACTGCATGCCTGAGCACTGGGCAACTTATTGCACATCCACAGCTGAGCACTTTGCAGCTCACTGCATGCCTGCAACTGAGCACCTTGCAGATGACTGCATGCGTGAGCACCATACAGCTCCCTGAATGCCTAAGCACTGTGCATCTTGCTGCATGCCCGTAGCTGAGCACCATATAGCTCACTGCATGCCCGTGGCTGAGCACTGTGCAGCTCTCTGCAGCTCGCTGCATGCCCGCCCGGAGTTGCGGCGCTGGGACCACTCATCCCATGGGCACGATGCTCTCAGTGGCTGTGCCGTGGGACTGCTGCCAGCTCCCTGCCCTGCACCAGGGCACCGGGGATGGCTCCCATGCTGCACATCCCATCACTGCCCTTCTGTCACACGGGGCAGCCGCGGCGGTGCTGGGAGCCCCTCGCTGTGGCACGGGCAGCACCAGCACTCAGGGCCCTGCACCGGGCACCGGTGCTGCCCACTGGACTGTGACCCCAGTGCCGGTGCCAGTGCCACTCCCCCAGCGCCAGCCGGGGCGCCCCAAGGCCGGGGGCTCTGTGACGCTGCGGCGGGTCCAGGCTCCCAAACCCTCCAGTTCCCCCACAGCCTGCACATCTCCCCGTCCCGAACGTGCGTCCGGCGCATGCCCACCCGCCCGGTGCCCTGTGCCCAGCACGTGGACCCACATCCTGCCACGGCACCACCCGCCCTGTGTGCCCCACTCACCCGCAGGCTGCTCTCCCGCTCCAGGACGATCACCCTGCGGTTCACGGTGGGCAGCAGCCGGTCCAGCAGCAGCTGGATGTGCTTCCTCGCCGTGCCCTGCAAGGTTCCAGCACTCAGAGTGCAGCAGGACGGTTCGCACCGGGAATGGGGATGTTTGCTGGTGCCAAATGTCCCGTCCGACACCCAGTCGGTCAGTCCCAGCATGAAGAGGGACCCTCTCCCACAGCCGCTGCAGCGCTCGGCGTCGTCCCTGCCCTAAACCTGGCCCTCTGCCCGGCTTCTGCTCCCAGCCCCAGGCCGGTGCCCAGGCATCTCCTCTCCGATGGCTTCCGACTTTGCTCTCTGAAAACATCTCTATCCCCCGGTGAAAAGCAGCAGTGAGAGGATTGTGTGCGGAAACCCGCAGGTTTGGCCAGCAGCTGCACCTGCCCGGCTGCCAGTGCCCCATGGCCGCTCTTGGCTCGGGTGCCTGCAGACAGCCCCTCGCATGGGCAGCCTTGCTCCTCATGGGCAGCTGCCACGGTGCCGCGGAGCTGCTTGGCCGGCGGGGCCCTGCAGCGCTGCCGCGGTGCTCACGCACCCTGCTGCTGCATGGGAACAACGGAGCACCAGCCTCGTGGGAGCAGAGGGCACCGGCAGCCCCGTCAGGGCATGGTAACACACGAATGATCCAAAGGCGCCGTGTCTGTGCCCGGTCTCTGTGACTTGGCACGTCCCTCCCTTGCCCGCCCCGGGAGCAGCCGCCTGTACCTTGTGGGCCTTGTAGAGCACCTCGAGGACGTTGCTGAGCAGCGCGATGCAGGCGTCCTCCTCCTCGCCCTTCGCCATGAGCTCCTGCAGGATGGGCACGGCCGTGCGCAGCAGCAGCTCCCTGCACTCTGCAGCGCCGAGGGCTGGGGCTTGCGCTGCCACCACGGCCCCGTCCTGCCCTCGACAGAGCCCCACAGTGCCCACGGCACCGCCGCGCACCCTCCAGCACAGAGCAACCCCCAGCTGTGTGCAGTGACCCCCTCCATGCAGCCAGGGAACCCCCAGGGCCGCGGCAGCACCGGCAGCCGCGGTGCCATCCTGCCAACGCGCGCCCCGTCCTGCCAGCGCGGCTCCCTGCCCGCGCCGCTCACCGCCGTGCTGGAACACCTTGCTGTTGACGATGTCCGTCAGCGACTGCAGCTTCTGCCTGAGCAGCCGCTGCGGCGGCAGGTTCCCGATGAAGTCCCGCAGCAGCGCCCTGTGAGCGGCGGGCACTGAGGGCCGCGGGCGCCTCTCCGGGTGGCGCGGCCGGGACGGGGATGGGGACAGTGCGCCGCTCACCCCAGCGCCGAGAGGTCGAAGATCCCCGCCACGTCCTCGAGGATGGAGGGCAGGTACTTCAGGGCTGCTCCCTGCAATGGGGCCACACCGAGCCCGCGAGCGAGGGACACGGAGGCACCCGGACGGGTTCCGTTGGCACAGGCCGTTCCACGGGTGCATCAGTGACACCCTCCTGGCCACCCCTAATCGTCCCCCCAAGGCGTTTACAGACCCCAGCTCCTCCTTGTGCCCTCCCTGCTCACTGCCACAAGGGCAGACATAGGAGCAGCTACCGTTGAGGTTTGCATTAGACTCCAGGCTAAGGAAAGCTGCAGCAATTAACATTAGCTATTCAGCAATTACCATTAACTACTGTGCGATTAACTTTAACTGCTCTGCCATCCTATGATCCCTTTCTGATCTCATCCTGCGCCCGGAGCTGGGATCGATGCTCTGTTGTTTGCTGTGCAGTCAGCAAGGCCCCGAGCCACCCCTTAAGCATGAGATTTGCCCGGATTTGCCAGGTTCTACAGGAATTTCTCCAGCGTCATGGGACTTCCTGAACATCTGGCACAGGGAGGGTTTCTTCCAGAAGTTGGTTCTGGGTTCTAAGTGCTGAGGAAAATTGCCTATCTTTGCACATTTGCAAATCTATCCCTCTTACCATGGGGGATTAACTCCCTTGTACTGATTTTTTGCAGCGAAAGTTGTGGCTGCGAGGCGAAACCCTCGGGTTCCTGCTGCCGCCGGAGCAGCAGTGTTTGCTGGCGCCGCCGCCTCTCCGCGTCGCTGCTGCCGCTGCGCCGCACAGGGAGCTGCCGAGGCGGGGGGCATGGGGTGCCCACGGGCTGGGCCTGGGGGACCCCTGAGCCCCGGGGCTGCCCTGGGGCCCGATCTGCGTTCAGCATCGAGGGACAAGGTTATGTACAGCGTGAAACCCAGCAGGGACCCAGCACAAGGACTATGGACGGGCTGAGCCCGCGCCAGGAACCCCCAGGAGCCCCCGTTCCTGTCTCCTGATTCCCTTCGCAGCAATTCCCAGCTCCCGGTGTGCGTCTCCCACTGGGTGCTGAGCATCAGGGCGACGTCGCCACGGCCCTTCCATCACGGCCCAAGGCTCAGACGTGGGGTCAGTCAGCTCGGAGACCATCATTGCGCATTGAACGTTAAGGTGCTTTGCATTTTTGAAACCCCTTTTCACTTCTGTGCTGAATAATGTCACTTGGGTGCTTTGTCACCAGTGAACAGCAGTGAACAGCAGTGAACAGCAGTGACGTTGCGAGCAAGCTCCGCAGCGCCCGCGCTCCCCGCGCACCCTACCTGCGAGAGCAGCGTGGGCCCCTCCTGCGGGCACCGCATCAGCTCGTTGAGGCAGAGGAAGAAGCGCTGCAGCGACTGCTGGAACTCGGCGGCCTCCCTGCCCTCGTAGAGCCTGCGGGGGCCAGGACACAGCGTCACCCACGGCCCGCGGGACAGCAGTGGGGCGGCAACGCTGCTGCAAGCGCTCGGAGCGGGTAAGCAGGGCAGGGCGGCGGGAACAGGGCCCAGCACCAAGCCCCGCTGTGGGAGGCACGCGCATGCAGTGTGTGGAAAGGGGAAGCCGCCGGGTGAGTGGTTTTGAGTGGTTTGCAGGTAGCGAGTGGAGGAAATTAGGAACAAGAAGGTAATCCGTCCTGCGCCGTGGGGGCAGGCGGATCTCCTGGTCTAATCTCATGTGCGCCCGGAGCGCCGGCCCCGTTGCGACGAGCAAGATGTGTTTTGTTTTCCAATTGTGCATGTTGCAGTAGAACAAACAAGATTTGGGTGAGGGTTTTTTTTTTTTTTTTTTTTTTCCGCTTACTGGCTATTTTTACTGAATCTTGTTTTTGCAAAGATTTTGCTCCTTTGTTTTATAAAACAGCAGTTGGGTTGTTCTGCTTTCGAACCCGTCCTCCCCCAGGAAATGAACTGGCGGGAGCACAAACCGCAGTCCAGCACGGCCACGAGCGGCCTCTTTATCCAGCAGATAAAACACCACTAAAACACGCAGGGCTGCCCCAAAAGCCGCCGGCGCCTCCCTGCTCCTGGCTGCAGCTCTTGGCATTGTCCCCGTCTCTATCCACACAGGAGCCGAATCTCCCAGCGCTCTGCACAGAGCAGCCGTAAGGGCAGGAATCCCAGGATCGGGCTGCGTTCCGGGGAGCCGGGAGCGCTAAACAGGGAGAGTGGGACCGTGGTGCCCCCATCCCCACAGCAGCGATCCCAGGGAACAACCGCTGCACGTTTGGTTGATTTCTCACCTCGTCCCTTTGCAATAGTCGGCATTTTGGAGCTCTTAAGCTCTTGCCTACAGAATTCTGCAATATCACATTAAAGACGGTATTCATAAATACTGTATATCTTAAAATGGTTGGAAAAAACGCGTCAGCGACAGCGATTCCCAAGGCTTTGGGCAGCGATTCGGAGCAGGGCAGGGCACAGCAGCCGGGGCCGGCAGCGCAGCGGGAAGCAGCGCAGCCGGGTGGGACGTGCTGCTCCCGGCACAGCCGCAGCATGCGCAGCCATGCAGCGAGCCGCGCTCGTTGCTTTAATTACAACCTCATTTCTTTAAATTACGGAGCGTGTGTGGGATTTAGCTCCCCTTTAAGCATTTAGAAGATCAGAAGAACTCGTGTTATTCTGCTGTTAAGATCATGGAGATAAAGAAAAGATGAATAAAAATGCTAAAGGTCTTAAGGGAGGTCTTTCTTTTAATGCAGACTAATTCACGGGGCTCTCTGCAAATGCTCTGTATAATTTCATCTTTCTTTGGCAAAAGTTCTTCAAGATGCCCTGTTTGCTCTGTGCCCTCCATAGTGAGGTGGGGGAATTGTGGGCACCATGGGGGACCATGGAGCATCCCAGGTGCTCCAGGCACTGGACAGAGCTCAGCATTGCAGCCTGGATGGGCACCGGCACCATAACCCAGACCAGCACCAGCACCAGCCAGGACAAGCACCAGAAGCAGAGCCCAGACAAGCACCAGCACTGTGGTCTGGACGTGCACGAGCACCAACCTGGATGCACACCAGCACCAACGTGGACGGGCACCAGCATCATAACCCAGACCAGTACCAGCACCAACCTGGACGGGCAGCAGCACCATAACCCAGACCAACACCCGCAGCAGCCGGGACAAGCAGCAGAAGCAGAGCCCAGACCAGCACCAGCACCAACCTGCACATGCACCAGCACCAGCGTGCACGGGCAGCAGCGCAAGGCGGCCGAGCAGCAGCAGCAGCAGCACCCTGGAGCGCAGCAGCGCAGGCAGCAGCGCAGGCAGCAGCGGGACTCACTGCGCGAAGAGGCGCCGGGAGCGGACGATGAACTTGAAGATGTACTCGAGCGCCTTGAAGGTGCGGGCAAGCGGCTCGCCGGGCTCGCCACGGCTCGCCCGCTCCACGTGCTGCGTGAGCACTGTGACGAGCTTCCTGTGGGCAGCGCGTGTGAGCCCCGCACAGTGCCTGGCACGGGCCAGCATAGCCTGGCACGGCATAGCCTGGCACGGCAAAGCCTGGCACGGCACAGCCCAGCATGGCACGCACTTGTAGGCGAGCGTGGCGCTGAAGTGCTGACGGATATAGGCCTCGAGCACCGCGTTGAAATGCTGGAACTTGCGGTCAGCCACCAGCCCCACAATGAAGACCTGTGGGACAGGGACGTGGCAGCCCCCAGGCTGCGGGAGCCCCGGGACCAGCAGGGCTGGGCTGGAACCTCCCTGTCCTGCTGCTTTCAGTACTGCCGACTCACCAGGGCATCAAAGATGAGTGCATCATAGATGTCCGTGTCCGCGTTCTCCATCATGATGGAGAAAAGGGCATCCAGGGTGTCCTGCAGGAACTGGGGGAGCAGGGGGCAGTGAGGCCCTGGAGCCAGCGCCGCTTCCCCTGGGACACGAGTGTCCAGCCCGGCGAGTCCCCAGAGGAGCCCGGAGCCGCCTTGCGCGGCCAATGTGGTGACGCCACCGGCACGGCAACGTCTGCCAAGACTCGGCTGAAGGGCTGGGGAAGGGTCCGGGGCGCGAGGGCACCTTGATCACTTCCCCGCCGTCCACGTTCATCAGCTTCTGCAGGTTCCCGGCCAGCAGGGTGGGCTTCGAGCGCCACTTGAGCAGCCCCAGCAGGTTCACTGCGGGAGCGAGGGGTGAGCGCCATGCAGCCGCCGGTGCCGCAACGCGAGCGCACACGGGTACACACGAGAGCACATGAGCGCACCATGGGCACACACAAACATAGACAAGCACACCACGAGCGCACAGGGGCACACACGAGTGCCCCTCAACCGCCCCAGCCTCCCCCTGGCTGCGCCCCACAGAGGGAGGAAGGCAGGCATGCAGGAAGGCAGACATACAGGGAGGAAGGCATGCAGGGAGGCAGGCACGCAGGGAGGCAGGCACGCAGGGAGGAAGGCAGGCATGCAGGGAGGCAGGCATACAGGGAGACAGACATGCAGGGAGGAAGGCAGACATGCAGGGAGGCAGGCATGCAGGGAGGAAGGCACGCAGGGAGGAAGGCACGCAGGGAGGAAGGCAGGCATGCAGGGAGGAAGGCAGGCATGCAGGGAGGCAGGCACGCAGGGAGGAAGGCAGGCATGCAGGGAGGCAGGCATGCAGGGAGGCAGGCACGCAGGGAGGAAGGCAGG